CATTTTAAATAGGATAAATGTGATGTGTGATGCATAAGTCAATCATCTCTTTGTTTCAAAATTATCCTCTTTGGATGTAATAGGACTTAACTTGGAATTAGGTGTGTTTTGGGATTTTTATCTGGCCTTGCAAAAAATATGTTGAGGATGAATTCCCTTAGCTAGTAGAACTTGTCTCATCTGGAAGGAGAATGAGTCACGAATCTCATTGTTGGATGCACAAAAAGCAGGGGTTACAAGATGTCTTGGTTTTGATTCCTGGTCTTATCAGGATCAGAATATGTGAATCTGGTAATCTTTTAAGTAAAATTCATGGAGGATTAGATTGTTTTCTTTTAGTTTCGAAATCTCATTTCTTTCCTTTTCCCTACATGCTGATGGACATAAAACTGAACATCTTCAGGGATGTTAGGATGTAAGGTCAATTTGACAATTTTGGTTTCGCTGAATTTCTGATTTTTCCAACTGGAGTTTATTTCATTCTTTTTCTGTATCAGTCCGCACAAAATTTGTTTGTGTTTTCATGGCTATTTCCTCTTAATATACATATTTTTGTGCTCTTTTTATTCTAAAACATGCATTTTTTTTCAAGTGATATTTCCTAATGCAACAGGTTTGGCAATTTTCATTAATTGATGTTTTTGTGCCCACTTTTTATTAGGTTACATATTTTATAGATACTTCAAATTAGAGAGCTATACAGAGGAATTCAGAAAAATGAACCGACAAAGTAAATTTGGTTCTCTAGCTTGACATTTAATGTGCTGAGAAGAAAACAACCAATATATGAAGCTGAGTTCTGAGAGGATAAATCACAAAAGCAAGCAAGTTTTTTTTTTCAACCATGGTTTTCCTGTTTTACATGCTAAAGGCGTGGTTTGAGTTCTGAACTGTGGCCTCAAACAAATTTTATTATTCCATCCAGGGAAGAAATGTCCCAGATGGTTTACTATGTTCACCAACATGCAACAAGTCTTCCGTGGGATTGAAAGAATTACATCAATTGTTAGACAGAGAACAGCAACTAAAAGTTCAGCTGAAGTCATCTCCCTCAATCAAAGCATTCCAGAGATAAGATTATTTGCACGCTAAAGAATTGTTTTCTTTTGTTCTGTTCTTTTTTGTTTTTCTTCCCCACCCTTTGTTTCCAAGCTGTAGGAAAAGTAGGGATGTTTTATTGTTGTGTTTGAAAGAAGGTGAGCAATCACAGCTATGCTTTGTGGAGCTGGCAGCTGCCCATGAAATGTACACCTGAGAAATGTGGGATCTCAGTACAGGTCATCCTCATGGCAGATGGAGTGGTATAATAGTATTCCCTTCTGTAATCCAGTGTCTGTATTTATTAATCTTCATTGTATTCAACAAAATCTTCCATATCACTGGTGACTTGTCTAGAATCAGGCCTCAGATTAATACAATAGACAACAGCCTGAAAAAAAAATGCACTGCTATTCTCAAATAAAAGCATTTGGATCTGTTCTGGCTTGGATGATATAGTTCAGTGGTTCTCAAGCTGTGGGTCCCCAGATGGTTTGGTCTTCAACTCCCAGAAATCCTGACAGCTGGTAAACTGGTTAGGATTTCTGGGAGTTGTAGGCCAAAACACCTCAGGGCCCTCAGGTTGAGAACCACTGTTATGGTTCATACAAGTGTGGTGGATGTAACTTTGGCCTCTGCTTCTGCAGTAGTCAGTGGTTTGTTTTCCGTTCTTACTGTCCAAGGATGCAGATAGATATTTCCACTATATCATTTTTATTTCAGTATAAGAAAAGGAGAGGTGGTGTAATGTCAACTAAAGGTACATTGTTTACTTTTTGCTTCTCTTTTGCTTTTTACACATTATAGAGTGAAATTATGAATATTTGTAGGCAGATCTAAGTAGATTTTGGCTGCTATTTTAAAAAAAAGTTGCTTTTGTTTTTACGGTGATGGAAATGTACATCCATACCTATATTCCTTTTCTTATTATACAGCTGATTTCTGAAACAATGTACTCGGTGTTGGCGTTGTGTAGGTACAGTTTGTTAATGGCTATAGTAATGAAGATAAATATATACTAAACATTACCTCAGAGTTTGAAGACATAGCTTAAGTGCAGTGCAGAAACATGAGCCTTTGGCAAAGCTCCTGGAAAAGTTCATAACCCTGTGATTTGGCGACCATTCAACATCCTACCTGAGCCAACTTGTTTGAGGAGAGCTTCATGGAAGAGAGCACTTTTTGATGTCTGTGGGTGTGTGCAAGTTGTCCACCAGTGTCTGGAATATGACTTAACTTTGGGTTAAGTTCTTCTTGAAGAAGTGGTGTGATTATAAAAACATTTGTTCTAATGAGACTATATTCTTACTTACTCAGTAAATACCTAGAAATTGCATTGTAAAATGTTTTTGGAAGTGGGAAAATTGGCAGTTTTTAGCAAAACAAATTGTTGCCATAACATTGAATAGACTGACCAACTCTCCCAAGAATATAATTCTGGAATTACTTACAGTTATGATTTTGGGAGTATGGGAAAGCAGTTTAAATTTCTACTAATGCAAACTGAAAGGCTGCACATTGAAAGGATGGCAATGATTAAATTATGACTTCACTTTTAGAGACTTAGTTTTCAGTGATCAAAAACATGTTTTGGTTCTTGAATCAATTGCAGGCCTTTCCAGTGTGAATGAGGCTAAGATAGATGTGTGTTCTCAACTATGACTTTTGAAATCCAACATTCGATTCGATTACCAACTTATGACTATGATTCTGAAATCTTCCATTTCCAAGAGATTTTCTTAATACGATATATCCCAACTGTCCCACCTTATTTTTGTACTACTTTTAGGAGGTTAACCATGACCTGTAGACTATATCTAGAATGTTGGCGTCTAAAGTCACTGAGTTCTCAGAGTTAAAGATTGAAGAGATGCTGATTCATGTCAAGGTTAAGTAGTCCAGCTTCCTGGATTTATTTTTTCTAGTACAAGTTAGACAAATGCAGTGAGCCACGTATGAAAGCAATAGCCTCCTATTGCTGTCATCAATAAGCAATGAGAGTTGTTGTAGCCCAGCATCTAGATCATAATTGTTCTTGGATTGCTATCCTGTGCACTTACTTACAAATGAACCACATTGAATGTAAGGCACCTGGTTTCTGAGCTGATATGTAATGGCTTGTGCTGTTAATGTCTAAGGTTTCATCTGTAATGGTCTAAAATGCATTAAGAATATAATTCTTAATAGTATAACGTCATAGGTTTGCACCTATGCTCTTCTGGCTATGTGCTGTGGGGGACCAGCGATTATTTTTTCCAGTGCTCCAGGACCGAAACTATATTCATTCCTATTGGGCACAATTGTTTCTTTCTTTCCTGAAAACTCTGTGGGAATTGGCAGGCAATAATTTAAAGACTGTGACTGGTCTAGGAGTCACTACTTTGAGTATTACTGGTCTAGACTCTGATCTATAGCAGGGGTCACCAAACTAAGGCCTGGGGGCCAGATACAGCCCTCCAACATCATTTACCCGGCCCTCACTCAGGGTCAACCTAAGTCTGAAACAACTTGAAGGCACACAACAACAACAACAACAACAACAACAATCCTATTTCATCAGCCAAAAGCAGGCCCACACTTCCCATTGAAATACTGATAGGGTTATATTTGTTAAAATTGTTCTTCATTTTAATTATTGTATTGTTTTTAAGTGGTTTTTTGCACTACAAATAAGATATGTGCGGTGTGCATAGGAATTCATTCATGTTTTTTTCACATTATAATCCGGCTCTCCAACAGTTTGAGGGACTGTGACCTGGCCCTCTGTTTAAAAAGTTTGAGGACCCTTGATCTATAGTATTTGTCTATAATGTAATACTGTACAAATCCACATGCTTTATCAGAAAGCCACCAAGCTTGCTGTGTTAAATTGGGACACATCACATTAGAGAAAAAATCCACTTAAAATCCGGTTTCTGCCTCCTGCAGAATTCTGGGGTTTGCAGTTTAGGGAGGAGCCTTTAACAGCCTCACGAAACTACAAACTCCAGAATTCTGCAGGAGGCAGAAACCAGATTTTAAGTGGATTTTTTCTCTATTGTGAAAGAGACCCAAAGAAAGATTGTCAAATACTTCAGATACCTCCCAAACATTTAGTATTTTTCTCATTTTAAACTGTAGGCTCACATTTATGAATTAGTCTTTGATATTTATATTTGTAGAAGTTTGGGGGCAACTAGCTTTTTTGAGAAAAGAGTTTGGTTTTGTCAGTTTTGCATGAAACTTGGTGGGCGACAGATTTCAAGGATTATAGCTGCCAACAGTCTTTTTATTTCATTCAAATCATAAATGAAATAATTATCAACCTGAGCAATGCTAAGTAAACCTCCTAGTGTGGAATAAATGTAATTCCAAATATAGAGTAATGAGCTTGGGCAACACTTGTGTTGTGATATTGTTAGTATTAACAGTGTCTTTTTCTCAACAACTTGTACTGGTGCATCCTTTTGCATGTCTTTTTAGATTGTTCTCTAAACTCTGATTTTCAGGTATTTTGAATTTCAACACCCTACCTAAATCTTTGATCATTGGCCAAGGCAGCTGGGGCTTCTGGGAGTTAAAGACTAGAGTTTGGGAATCACTGGTTTAGTTTACCTCTCCGCGCGTAATCCAAATTTGAGTCAGGATTTTTCATATACCTGGTTTGAGTCAAGGTTGTTCTTCAAAATTGGAACCTTGCCATGATATAATATAGCCTTCCATGTAGTCTTCAATAAATGCTTTGATAATATGTTTATATATGACTAACTAATTTGGTGTTTCTCAACCTAGGGGTCGGTACAATTCATAATAGTAGCAAAATTACAGTTAAGAAGTAGCAACAAAACTAATTTTATGGTTGAGAGTCCCCACAACATGGGGAACTGCATGTTAAACCACTGAACTAATTAAACCAAAGTATAATATAAAATAGTCCCGTTGGAATGTTTTCTCTTCTTAATTCCATTTTGTTTCTCTTTCAGTTCCTGGGAATAGCATTTCTTGGAATTGGACTTTGGGCCTGGAATGAAAAAGTAAGTAGAATTTGGAGAAGTTATTAATTAATTAAATGTGTTCCCTTCCTTCCTCCCAATTTCCCTTTGCTTGAAAAGCAGTACAGCATTTCTTTGCGTGGCAGTAATGCCCCCGGTGGCTCAGTGGGTTAAAGCACTGAGCTGCTGAGCTTGTTGATGGAAAGGTTGCAGGTTCAATTCCGGGGAGCGGCGTGAGCTTCCGCTGTCAGCCCTAGCTTCTGCCAACCTAGCAGTTCGAAAACATGCAAATGTGAGTAGATCAATAGGTACCGCTCCGGCGGGAAGGTAACGGCGCTCCATGCAGTCATGCCGGCCACATGACCTTGGAGGTGTCTACGGACAACGCTGGCTCTTCGGCTTAGAAATGGAGATGAGCACCACACCCCAGAGTCAGACATGACTGGACTTAATGTCAGGGGACTACCTTTACCTTTACCTTAATGCCATACAAAGAAAGTTCTTGCAGGATATTAACTCTGTGTTTGACCAGTATAGGTGAACATGTGGCCTCCATTTGTCAGCAAACTTTGTATTAGGTCATTCCTAATAATTGGCCTTAGACAATATCTGGAGGATCACATACTTCCCCATCTTGTCTAGACGGCAAGTAAATATTTGATTTTTTTTAAAAAAGAGTTTTAATTTATTGTACTTGCATTGTTAAAACATGAAGCTCATTGGTGAATTTAACTAAGAGTGGCAGGCCTGTATTTTTAGGTTCTAGGCTGAGCTGGAAAACATTGCCTTTTTGAATTATAGCTTCTCCAAACAAATATAAATTTGGGAATTTTCCAGAAAAAGTAACTTTTCAAAATTCTGAAAAGGTGCATTGTTTAGCTGTATTTGAATCACCTGCAAGGAAAAATAAAGCACCTGTTTTCTTTTTGTAAATGTATGTAGGTGAATTATACTATAAAATGTGCAGAAATGAAGAACTATCAACTCTATACTTGATTAGGAAAGATTGTCCCTAGCTTTAAGAAAAGATGCCCATTCAGTGCTCTGTTTTTGGGATTGTTGGATTGTGACTGGAGACTAAGGTACGAGTCCATACTCATCCATGGTTATCTATGGTGACCTTGGGTAAGTTGACAATCTCAGTCTCGGAGGGAGGCAAAGGCAAACCTCTCTCTGAACAAACTTTGTCGAGAAAGCCCTGTGAGGGGATTGCTGTAAGAAATAACTTCAAGGCACACAACAACAACAGAGAGGATATTTCTAGTTTTAGGTTGCGTTCCATATTTTATTTTTGCTTTGACCCAAAATCAGGCTTGACCTGCATATCGTTGGATTCATTATTTGCCATTTGCTACCAGTTTACTTCCCATGCAATGACATCATGAAAGTTGTAGTTTTTACAAGGTCTTTACGCTTCTTTTCCAGAAAGTACCAGTATCTCACAAAACTATAAATCCCAGGATTTTATAGCACTGAACCATACCAGTTAAAATATCAAACAGCATTAATTCTACCTTGTAGATGCACCCTAGGAGCACTGAATTGGAATTTAGGAGACCATGTTTAGCTTGCAGAAGAGAAGGCTAAGAGGGGAAGTCATAGGGAGCAGGATTGTTTTCTACTGCTCTGGTGACTACGATGCAGAACAATGGCTTCAAACTACAGGAAAGGAGATTCCACATGAACATTAGGAAGAACTTCTTAACTGTGAGAGCTGTTCAGCAGTGGACCTCTCTGCCCCAGAGTGTGGTGGAGGTTCCTTCTGCCCCAGAGTGTGGTGGAGGCTTTTAAATAGTAGCTGGATGGCCATCTCTCGGGGCGCTTTGCATGTGATTTTCCTGCTTCTTGGCAGGGGGTTGGACTGTATGGCCCACAAGGTCTCTCACAACTCAGTGATTTTATGATAATACATTTAGGTGCATATAAACTATAGAATTAATACAGTTTGATACCACTTAACTGCCATGGTCCAATGCCATAGAGTCCTAGGGGTTGTAGTTTTACCAGGTCTTTAACCTTCTCTATAAAAAGTGCTGGTGCTTCACTGAACTACAAATCCCAGGATTACTGTTTGGGGCATTAAGTTGATTGTTGTAAAAACCAACATGGGAAAATTAGGTTTTAAAAGGCAGCCCAGAATTATGTTCTGCTGGACACAATTCAATCATAATCTATACGGAAGCCTGTACTAAAGAGATCTGCATCTATGTATGCAAATTATATATAAAATGTTACAAGGGTTTATTTAAATTTTACAAAAGGTAAAAATTAATTGATTTCTCATCCAGGTCCCATTTCATAAAATAAAATATTGTTAAATTGTATCACACCACAAATCATCCCATACCAGTAGGTAGCCTTCAGTTGCAATTAATTGATGCTTTGGTGAAATCGTGCAAACAAGAGTAGCTGGTGGGTTTTTTAAAAAATGAGATTTTTCCTTGCAGTCATTAGAGAGTGGAACAGGGCTTGCTCACCAAGCAACAAAAAACAGGTTTGACAACCAGTCAGTCGAGCTTAAAGAGAAACTCAAAATTAGCATCCTAAACTGTGAACCTGAAAAGGGGCTGTTTGAAAGATGGAGGCAGAGAACTCAGAAGGCATAATGAGATAAGTGAGTCGCTTTATCCAGTGATTTATGGGGTTTTTTTCCTTTTAGCTTTTCCTCTGAGCTCCAGGAAGAAACCTTTCCATACGCCACTCACCATGTCTTTTCCTCATTGTGTGAAAATAATCAGTGATAGGCACCTTCCAGCTAATAAAGGCTTAATATTTACTAAATTTCTATCTTAATGTAGCAGTTGTTGCCAGAACATCATCTGCTTTTTCATAACTCTGCGTACTAATTTTATTCCATCCTGTACCGAGGTTGGATCAATTAGACTGCCATGTATTTATCTTTGTTAAGACACCACTGTCAAAACAAATATTTTTTCAAAACCCTCCTTTACTACATGCACAGTTCCTTGAGCTATCAACTAAAAATTGCAGCTTGATACTTGTCTGTGTTGGTAGTGAGACACTTGACTCTACTTGAGGAAGACATATCAATCTTTCCCCCTTAGTTGTGCAATGCAGATCGTAAATATTGCACCTTTCCAGCCCTGTCCCTTTTTATCACAATGGGGTCTGCACCTCTTCAATCCAGATGTGCCTCTTTGGTCTCTGGAACGTGAGGTAGAGAAGATGTTTCTTTGAAGAGTTTTAGCAGATCTGCCTCTTGAAAGGGCTCCATGTCAGATTAGAAATGGGACCCTTTTCTGCAAAGATCAGTTTTCAAGTAGCAGTCAGCCAAGTCCTTCCTTTGGCTCCAGTTTTAGTGCAAATTGAAGGGTGCTGGCAGCAAGCTTAAGTACAATGTTGTGGAGAATTGCGGACTGCCTCAAAATGTGGAGAAAGTTGTCTCCAGTCTCTATATTAGGTATTTGAATGATTACTTTCCTATTCTTGGACCAGAGTTTGAGGGACTTTGCAGAAATCCTTTCCTGGCTCATTTTGTGCAAAGTAACGATCAGGTGAGGGAATCTCTGCTGTGATAATCTTTTTGTGATATCTTTTAGTTTCCAAACTTGGGTCTCTAGATTTGTTGGACCAGCTCCCAGATACCCCAAACAATGTGGCTAACGGACTAGAAATTCTGGGAATTGTAGCCCGACAACATTTAAAATCTCACAGTTTGGAAACCAGTGCTGTAGTAGCCTGTTTTAACGCAAATGACTTTTGTTGTGAAGTGAAGAGTTTTTAAATTTTCACATGGATGTTCATTTTTGGATGTATTTGTATCTGGGTTTTTAGTTCTGTTGTCATTAAAATGATTGGTGCTTGGTTATAAGTGCAAGCTTTGAAAATCCTTTGGAATACTTTTAGGATATAAATAAACATTGAGTAACTCAACCAGTGGCATATAAATTTTTTTGGCTCTTCAGACAAATGTTTGCGTCTCCTCTTAATCACAAAAACAGTCCCTTCTTTTGAAAGAGGAATATGCAATGCGGTGTTGAAAGAGCCAGTTGATATGGGCCTTCCAGTAATTACTGTTGACCTGTCCCCTTGTTGTTTCAGAGCAGGCTGAAATGTTTCACTGTGGCTATCAAAGAAGAAGAAGAAGAAGAAAGTCCTGTGCTTATTAAAGACTAACATGTCAGAGTAGTTGCATTTCTTTTCATGCTCTGCATATATTTATTAGTCAGGGTTCACTGGTCATACAGATGCGTGGGAAAGTCCACCTTCTATTCAGCAGAAAAAAAACTTCCATTAGAGAGGACTATATTTTGGGCTTTCTTTTGAAGACCACCAACACTTCGTTCTTTGTTACTGATTTTCTCTCTCGTTTTACAAGAATGCTTTTGGTTGCAGGCTGCTTCTAAAGTTTCTTTCAATTGCAGTAAAGTTAGTGTGTGGAAAAGCCTGCTGACATGTGTACATGCACGTACAGCTATCTGCTTATGCAACACCACAAAAAAAAAGAGGAAATGTCTCCTATTTGCATTAAACATGGCTTGGCTTGAGCATAGGTATATGCTTAGATGCAAATTTAGAAAGGATGACACATTGAGTATCCCTTCTCCAAAATACTTGGCACCAGAAGTGTTTTGGATTTTTTTTCAGATTTTGGAATATGAGATACCTTGGAGATGGAACCCAAGTCTAAATATGAAATTCATTTATATTTCAAATACACCTTATACACATAGCTTGAATGTATTTTTATACACAATATTTTCAGTTATTTTATACACGAAACAGTATTTTTGTACACGGTATCATTAGAAAGCATAAGTGTCACTATCTCAGGCACCGATATGGATAATTTCAGATTTTAGAGTATTTTGGTTTTCTGTTGGGTTAACTACTGACATGCAACTTTGATGCCTCTCTTTGGACCAGGCAAAACTTCAAATACAGGACATTTTCAAATCTTGGGATGATTGAATCTTGTTCCCTTTGTCAAATCTACTCAGACTAACACACCCCCCCCCCCTCTGGCCAACCCCCTAGGCCCCAAATTTTGGTTAATGCACTTTGTTCCCAGTTGCACTTCCTACTCCTTTCTAATTTAAGATTTTGCCTTTTCTTGTGGTTTCTTAAATTGATGTGAGATATGCAATAAACTCTCTCAGCGGTTAGATATGAGTGCATCAAAGTGATTAGAAAGGGAGGACCCAAATGTAAATAAAAAGCATTTTATGAGTTCATTTTTATCAAATGTTGAGTGAGACTGGCTCAGATGTGTCAGTGTGAAGGGGAAAAAAGCTCCCCTGGAGTTTAGTTCGATTGCAATGCATTACAAGAGGAAAGGCATGGGGCAGGCAGCTGAGCTGGAGACCAGCCAGGAAACTCCTCTGCTCCTTCCATCTTTTGAAAATACAGATCTCGGGGCTGGGGCCAGCATGAGATGCAGGGGGGAGAGGATGTTGAATGCATCACTCCATAGAGTATTCCACCCACTCACCAAACACATTTATGCAAACATTGTAGTTCCGCATGTAGTGTAATACAAATAACATTTTGGAAAGAAGTTGCATTCCTTGCCTGAAAGAACATTGATATTTGGATTGTGTGTGTGTGATCATATTTTGTTCATATTTTGTGGGAGTGTAGACATGTGTGTATGCACGTACAGCTATCTATCTGTCTCTATCAAAAATAAAAGCACAGTATTTTGAGATATGTCCAGCAGAGAAGATGGTTCAAGTCCCACCAAAACACATAGTTGTCTGATAGGCACAGCCACTGAATACAGATATGCCTCCATTAATGAAGTAGATGTTCTCCTGGGCATTACTTTTTTCACTGGTACTAGAGACAGAATTGACATGGAAAAAATAGAGTTCTATTCAACTACTACAACACACAAAGCAGTTCAGTATGTTTCACCAAACTTTTTATTCAAAACTAGCAATGTGTAGATGTAAAACGAAACAACCAGGTCAGAGGAGCCTTGCATATGCAAACAAAACATTTTGAATCTTTCAGAGGGTCCTCTTGCAGGCTTCTAGCAAAATGCTTCCAGGGATAGTGTTTTCCTCACCAACTTCCACATTTTTTTATGATTTACATTTTGGTAGCCAAGCATATGAATCTGTGGTTCTTTGTTTTTTAACATGCTGGAGGCAGTTGGCTTATCTATTTTCCAGCTTTCTCTACATTTTCTCTTTTATGTGGACTAAGCAAGGAATTCTGAAGCTGCTGTTTACCTGTGTCTTGTAGGCAGGAAGACACAGATGCAGTAGGATCAGCTAGAGTAGAATCCCATTATTTTCCAGCCCAAGCTTTCTTGTGTTATTTATTGCAAACAGACTGTCCAAACCTCCCCCAGAAGCCTATCATTCCCAATTTTTAATCAGAACTTTCCATGGTCCTGAACCCTATCTTCAGGATAGATCTGGTACGTTGGAGCGCACCATCAACATTTAAAAGCAAATGGATTCACTATCCTCTAATTTGGAAACCACTGGCTGGTAGTAAATTCTAATTTTTTTGACCATAATAAGTGAAAAACACACGTGGAAGTGTGTTCAGATTTCTCTGATTCTCCTCTTTTAATGTAGTACAGAATGATGGAGAATACTGCTTCCAATAATGCGTTGATGTTTGTTCAGTTAACAAATTTCATATACTTTTTACAGCATCTCCGAAAGCATAGTCTTAGAAAAGTTGTAGTAGTCACTAACATATTTCAACATAACTAATTAATAGATCAACTGGCAGATTAAAGTCTTCTATCAGACAACAGTCCTAATCCTTTGAACTTACAAGTTACCAGTGCTGACCTTGCTCAACCTCTTTCTTTCCTATCCTGTTTTCATTCTTCCCTGGCCTTTTGGTATAATGGTTCACTAAGTGACATGTCTTGTATTTCCCTCACAAAGGATATGACTGTGTGCCTGATCGCATTGGAGTGGTGGTATGTTTTAGAACAGATAAAGAACTGTCAGGAAACATCACTTTCAAACATAACCATATTACTATCTACTGGACTTAAATGCAAAATGTCTGTGTTGCTGTTGCTCAGTGTCAAAAAGAATAGCAACAGAGCTACAGCATTAGTTGGATATATCTGTAATCTGAATGTTTTTCTCTCTCTTCTCCCACCCTCACCCATTACCCAAGGGAGTGTTGTCCAACATCTCCTCCATCACTGACTTGGGAGGATTTGATCCAGTTTGGCTTTTCCTTGTGGTTGGAGGAGTGATGTTCATTTTGGGGTTTGCAGGATGCATTGGAGCTCTGCGGGAGAACACCTTCCTTCTCAAGTTTGTAAGTAGCCTGCACAATTGCTGTAGCCATTGTTTTATTCAAGAGGCATCCCCAAACAAAGTGCTCCTTTTAAGTTGTATGGATTGTGTTATATTGCAGATGCCCTCGCTTTACTTTCAAACAAAAAATGCCTCAAATATATGGCATGTAAGACCAATTAAATATTTCTGAGGATTCACTTTCAAGTGATGCACTTTCTAATGGATTACAGTAAGTCATTCAATGCTTTTAGTGTTGGACAAGACAGTGTGTACATTTGATAATTACATGTGTATAATGTTCTGGACCACAGTGTGAGACAATTATTTTAAGATGTCTGTGTGACACCCAGATTCTTCCAGACATTATGGCTACATTGGTTAAGGGATTCTAAGAGTTTTCATCCAAAAAAGTAAATTTTCTAGGCTGTGGCTTTGACAAGTTATGTGAACCAATCTCTGTTCTGAGGCAGGCCACCCACATTGACTATCCTATGTAATTTGTAGTTATCAGATATGCCATAACCAAAGATTTCCACTTCTTCCTACTTTCTCCTTCCTCATCCTAAATCTGTATTTGCCACCACTGACTGTATTTCAGACTGTATTTCTTTTGGGCCAAATGTTTGAATAGGTTTACATTTCATTCATTCTTTCCATGGAACAATCTTCTCAGTTCTTCAAGTGAGTTGTGGTTATTACAGATTTCCCAGCCTTCACTCCAAAATACCATTCTCATAGACAGGAAAGCATTCTGTTTTTACTTTGTATCTCCATTGTAATATGACCGCTTCTGCAACCTAATATAATTTTTCCCAGTTCAAAAAGCTTGTAAAAATGTTTAGGCTTTCAACTAATTAGTATGTAAAGGTTAGACCGGGTAATATTTGGTTAATGTTGTAGTAGTTAATAAGGTTTACCTATAATCTCTTGGCTCCTTTGGTTGAGCCATCTGGTGGTCTCTTGCTTTTATGGTTCCTTTTTTGGAAAATGGCTAAATTGAGTCTGGACAAGGTTGGACAACCAGTATGCAAGGCTGCTTCTTGCTTTTGAAAGACAGGTTTAATGATCATTTGGATCATTTCCACTCTATAATATTAATACAATTTGCTAGTAGTAACTACATTACTCAGGTTTTATTTGGACACAAGCTAAAGGTCATGGTCACCAAAGAAGAGAATTCGTGGGAAACGGTTTGATGTTTTACTACTTTAGAAGCAGTAATTCCTATTGACATGGTTGCCTCTGTGGTGATTTGTAGTGCCTTTAGGACCGTGCCTAGGCAAGACCCCATCTGTCTTCATGATGCTCAGGAGTGTAGTAAGGGTGCATTTCATGTTGAAGAATAGCCACAGATGGCTCAGTTTTTCAGGCCCATGTCTGAACACACATCTGTCCCCTTCAGATATTACAGAAAACAGGTCAACCATGATGTGGAAATATGAGAATATATTTTTCTGATGCATGGAGCATTCCATGATTCTATGCTTTTCTGTCTCTATCCACTCAAAGCACATGTATGCACCCAGAAAGAAGCTGAGTATTGTGAAAATTAAGCAACGGGGTTTTCTCATTTTGCAAAATTGCATTTTGGGGTCATCTTTTGTGTTTTATAATTTTCAAGATTTCAGAGGCAGTGTCTATTCACTTCCCAGTATAATGTAGAAGCCATAAAGACTAAAAATGTTCATCTCTTGATTCAAAATAAGAACACTGAGTCTCACTTTGGGGGAAAAGGCAGGGTATAAACAAAGTTCTTCTTCTTCTTCTTCTTCTTCTTCTTCTTCTTCATCATCATCATCCTGCATTAGGCACCCAATGCCATATTATATAGAATGATATGCTCTGACTGTTAAATGTGGCAGCCAAATAAAGAAGAAGAACTTGACTAAAATATTTCTCCTTCTTTGCAGTTCTCAGTATTCCTGGGAATTATCTTCTTCCTGGAACTCACAGCCGGTGTTCTGACATTTGTTTTCAAAGACTGGATCAAGGACCAGCTGTATTTCTTTATCAACAACAACATCCGAGCATACAGAGATGACATTGATTTGCAAAACCTCATTGACTTCACTCAAGAATATGTAAGTGACAATTCTACTTGTTTAGGGAAAATACACCTTTTTATAAGGTGACTTCTCCCCATTTCATACTTATTTCTTTTCCTCGTTTTTTCATTTCTAAAAGAAGCTACACAAACATTTGCGGCATGATTATAATTGTAATCTCTGTAATGGTCCTAATTACCTTGATTCGAAAACACTTTGTATATTGCCTAGATATTGTGTAAACCATTATTTTGGGTCATACGGTGGGCCCTTGATATCCACTGGGGCTTGGTTCCAAAATCTGTGGATGTTCATATCTCTGTACACAGTAAAATTGTTATCCCTATGTGAAATGGGGTAGTTGTTTGTTTGGGGGTTTTTTTGCACAGTGTTTGTGTGAAGGGGGGTATTTTTTTTGCCATGGGTGTTTCAATCCATGGACGCAGATTCCAGGGATATGGAAAGCTGACTGTAGTTCTTTCAGGTGGATTAATAGTAATTACCTTTTTCTCAGTGGAAATAAAAATGGGAAGGCTTTCATTATGTTTGCAGCCACAGATTCTATTCAAAGTCAATGTTAGAATTGGGAAGCTGTCAGGAAAGCAAATCAAAATTAAGCTATGTACAATGTTGCATACAAACATTACATTTAAGGTAGATGAAATAAACCCATTTAAGGTGCATGTAATAAATCAATAAAGTTGCTCTTTGGTTTCTGGAGCCAGCCAGAGGTTAGTTCTTCTTTGTTTATTACATGGATCAGGAGTGATTGTGTCTGTAGTGAACGTGGTGGGAAAGCCAATGCAAGGATGGATTTTAGCCTTCATGTGAGCTCAAGATGGATTGCATTAAATGCCTACTCTACAATTGGTAGCTGCCTCTCTATGGCTAGTTGTTTACATGTGGCAGGTTGCTATATATATTGGTATATTCTGTCTTATGCTCTGAATAGTGTGGAGAAGATCACCTAATCCATTTGCAGCACTGCAACACAGGACACTTTTTAAAAACTCTCTTGTTCATCTTAATTTTCAGTAGGTCAAATTGATCATGTGTTAGAACAAACAGCCATATAACCTCCGCATGCATTATTATTACATTTATTATTTTACTCTATTATTGTTATTATTGCATTTGCATTATTTTACTCTATTATTCTTACATTTACATTGTTATTACATTTACTATTATACTTGATTGTTATTATTACATTTACATTATTTTACTCTATTATTAGTACTTGTATTATTTTTCTCTATTATTATTACATTATTATTTTACTTTATTATTACTGTGATTATTACATTTATTATTTTACTCTATTATTATTGGAAGGATATGTAAGCACATTTACATTGTAGAAGGTTAGAATAATGGTTTAGTCAGAGTTGGACAGTTTTATCTTAAATTGTAGTTTTATGTAAATATTCAAAAACATTTAACCTACTGATGCTTCAATTAATGTAATTTTATTGGTATCTATTTTTATTTTGAAATTTATCAGTAGCTGCTGCATTTCCCACCCTCAGCTTATGCTCGAGTCAATATGTTTTCCCAGTTTTTTGTTGTAAAATTACGTGCCTCAGCTTATATTTGTGTCAGTTTATACTCTAGTATATATGGTATGTGTTGGGCTTTGTTGGTCCATGTTTCAAGTCTTAAACATCTTTTTACCTATAGTACCAACACCAGCGAAACTTTGCCATAAGGGCCAAGTGTTAACAGTCCTTTATCAATGAACAAAAAACAAGAAGGCAGCACTCCTTTCATCTCTTTTTGTCATGGAAAAAGTAAAGAACTGGTAAAAGTGCTCATTCCTCATGGAGTCATTATTGTTACATTTCCCTCACTCTCTCTAGTGGCAATGCTGTGGTGCCTTTGGAGCAGACGACTGGAATCTCAACATCTATTTCAACTGTACGGATTCCAACGCCAGTCGAGAGCGCTGCGGGGTCCCCTTTTCCTGCTGCACTAAAGATCCTGCTGTAAGTTGGAGCTGAAACCTGGCAAGGCTGCTGTTCCTTTCAGAAAAGGCTGCTGCTACTAAAAGAGCTCTCTGTGCATTGCATATTCAGTATCTTCTGCCTCTCAATGCCCCCTTCACTTCTGCAGGCGTCTCGGTCACCTCACAAGCATCTGTAGTAAGACTGTGGTTTTCAAACTAGATACCTGAATTCTAATAATTGAGTGTTTTTTACAGTGAGGAAAAAGAGATGAAGCTACTCTATTCAACAAACTAGTGAACTTGAACTGCTCGGATATCAGGATTGCATTCCTGTAAGATACATCTTCTTAGCAGAAATCGTGGTTATTTGAAGTTTGGGGCTTCTGTTCGGTGTAGGTTGGGGGAATATAGTATACTTCTGAAAATTCAGACTTTGTAAGAGATCTGCCATGGTGGTGGATGTCAGAAATATTAAAAATTAACTAGGTATTTTTAATTACCTTCATCTGAGGGAACTCTCAGTGTTTTCAGATCTCAGTGAGAGAGGCCTCAGTATGATAGGCCTCTGTCTGAGGTAGCCTTCAGTCTGTGAGAGGTCTCTGTGGAAGAAGGGCCTCTGTGTGTTAGTAGGCCTCAGTATGAGTAGGCCTCAGTGTTAGTTTGCCTCCATCTGAGAGAGGTGTCAGTCTGAGAGAGCCTTCAGTAGGAGAAAGGTCATTGTGGGGTAGGCTTCAGTGTTAGTAGGCCTCGGTGTGAGAAACTTTGGTGAGAGGAAGCCCTAGGTTGAAGGCCATCATATGTGAAGCTCCAGTGTGATAGCTGCTGTATATAAAGCTACTGTGTGAAGCTTCTGTGTTACTTCGATGTGAGAGGAGGCTCTGTGAGAGTGAATCTGTTTATCTGCATGAGAAAGAAACCCAGCATGGAAGCAAAGAAAGAAATGTAAATAACTTGATTTGTGTTATGGAAACCTTGTTCTTGTAAATAGTGCAACCATATTTTTTTACTACATAGAAAAGCCTGATATAGAAGAGATAACATCTATCTGTGTGTTTTTGTTGTTTTTATCACTTTGCGCTACTGATGCTGGGTCATGCTGCTGCTGATAAGTTACTCTGCTGTACATATAGTAAGCCCATTTGCCTAACAGTGGAGGCTTCTTTTCTGGAGGCTTTTAAACAAGCTGGATGGCCATCTGCCAGGGGTGCTTTAGTTGTGCTTTTCCTGCATGGCAGAAGGAGGTTGGATTTGATGTCCTGTGTATTCTCTTCCAACTCTATGATTTTATGTTGTGTATGTGATATACAATAGTTATAAATTGACTTTATTTAGTGGATGTGTCTGGTGCAGAGTTTTGGGAGCGGTAATCACAATAAGTAGTTCTCAAACCTTTGAATCCAGTAACTGAATATCTCAGGTGTTCTCTTCATGTATAATCTAGCATTACATTAGACTTCTACCCTAACCTTGTAAATCTGTAACAAGCAAGGGTCTGGGTACAAAGAAATATCCAATGAAGTTAAGCCTACCATCCTGAATTTTTTCAACTGAGACATATAATTTACAACTTGAGTGGAATTTGAGTGAGCAAGCTGAGTTATTAAAAGGGATTAAGTGGTTGGAGCATTCCGACCCAAAAACGTTGTGGTAGGAAGAAGCATCAAAAGCGGTACTGTAGCCTGTAGAAGTTTGGCATGATGAATAGTGAAATTTATTGGCACCTATTTTTTGTTTCTGCTTTTAGGAAGATGTCATTAATACTCAATGTGGCTACGATGCCAGGCAAAAACCCGTAAGTCTCCAAGGGCTTCTCCTTGGGTAACCTCTGCAGGAGGGGATGGGAAAGGAGCTGAAAGCCCAAGGAAATGTTAAGTACTTTGTGTCTTTGTTGTTTTCTCCAGGAAGTTGATCAGCAGATTGTTATTTACACAAAAGGCTGTGTCCCTCAGTTTGAGAAATGGCTTCAAGACAACCTCACTATAGTGGCTGGCATATTCATTGGGATTGCATTGTTGCAGGTAGGTCACAGTGGGCTCTTTAAAGTCTGCAGATAGCCAGCAAACCCCAAGAGGAAGAGCAGATCTCCATGTATAAAACCCCTGATAGAACGTATAGTCAGCCCTCCATGTTTGCAAATTTAACTTTTATGGATTTGATTAATATGGTCTCTAGGAATCTCAAGGTCCTCCAGCACAACTAAATGGTCAATGTCCAGCTGAAATTGACCATAGAGCCACACTGGAGAATTTTTAGATTCTTAGAGAGTTGTTATTTCAGGTTTAAAAAATGACGTGTTTCTCACTGTTATTAGGGATCTTGTGCTTCTAACCCAGTGGTGTCACACATGAGGCCCACCAGATGTTTTGGATGTCACTCCCAGAATTTTTGACCATTGGACAAGCTGACTGGGGATTCTCCAGACACCTGAAGGGTAACATATTGGGATCCTCCAGTGCAACTCTTTGGCAGGCCTGCACAACATGTGACCCTTTAGGTGTTTGGGACTCCAACTCCCGGAATCCCCAGCCAGATTCCTCTTTAGGAATCTTGTGGTCCTCCAGTGCAACTCTATGGCAGGCCTGCACGAGATTCCTAAAGAGGCTTTCTCAGGTTTCAAAGAAGTTTTTTATTCATGGTTTTTTGTCATTTTCACAGAGGGCCTTGTGCCTCTCTAACCCCAATGAATGTGGAGAGCCCCATCCCAAGTTTGATTTCCGTGTGTGTGTGTGTGTGTGTGTGTGTGTGTGTGTATATATATATATATATATATATATATTTGATGGGCTCATGGGCCCTTACACCCTAAACCCACAGCCTACTGCTTATCAGGCAGAGAAAGGGGAAAAGACAGATTAGGTATTAAGCAGATGGTTTTTATTGGCTCATAGGGACAAGAAAGTGGAGTGTACCTGCTGACAGAGTTTATCCTTTTTATCTCTTCTCCTTGGAGTAACATTGGTAAAAGTGTCCCTCCCTTGTCAGCTCACCATTGATAAGCAGCAGCATGTCCTCCTGGCAGTTAACAGCTACAGCAAGGGTGGGAAAGATCTACAGTAAAACCCCTTATGGTGCGCCCAGAAAGCCATATATGCATGCATATGCCACACTTACAACTTACACAGTTGTAAGTGTGACTTATGCATGCATATATGGCTTTCTGTCACTGACAGGATTCTGGTCAACATTTCCAATTTGTTTCATGTTCTAGATTTCATGGCTTCAGTAGCAATGAAGGTGGCCTTTTTGACCCTGATCTGAGTATCCAGAAAAGAAACTGTAGTACTTTCTAGAGCAGTGGTTCTCAACCTGGGGTCCCCAGATGTTTTTGGCCTTCAACTTACAGAAATCCTAACAGCTGGTAAACACCTGGGGACACACAGGTTGAGAACCACTGTTCTAGAGTGTTTGGGATGTTCTAGAAAGGACTTGTTAACTTTTTGAGTACTCAGATCAGGGTCAAAAAGGCCACCTTTGCTGGGTCTTTTCAAGGTGTCTGCTCCCACTGCTGCTCAGTAACATTCCCAGAAAATAGCTTTTTATTTCAAAACCTGTGGTTGTAATCCATAACCCTTGATGCCAGGGCAGCCCTGGAGTCAAAGGTTATGGATGATAACCACAGGTTTTGGAACAAAAAGCTAATTCTCTATTTCAGTAGGACTGGTCTAGTGTGTAGATATCTTGCAATTTTTGTCAATAATAACCAAAGTTACATTTCTTGCACACATATTTTGATTCAACTCCATTTCTGCATCTGATGCCCAACTCCATCTTATTTCCTTCCAGATATTTGGGATATGCTTGGCTCAGAACCTGGTTAGTGATATTGAAGCTGTCCGAGCCAGCTGGTAAACTGGCTCACCCCAAGTGGCACAAGACGCTGGACAATTAAACCTCAACTCTTGGAAGACTCCATTGTGTCCTGTGGACACACCACTATATGGAAATGGGTAACAGGGAAATCTCGAGTTCTCAGATAGTTGGAACTGCATGGGACCCTTGTTCATCCCAGAGGGAACAGCTTCAGCCTCATGCTTGCTAGTGAGAGTTTTTGGAAAAAGCTCCCTTTTCAAATGTTTTGAGCCATGTATCTCTACTGTATTCATGCCCAAGTAAAGTGGCAGATGCTCCTTTCTTCTTTATTTCGGTGGTAAAGTGACTGCTATCAGTGGGACCAGAGTCAGGACGTAATTTAGTGGGGCATGTTGTTTATTCTCTGTGTGAGAAGCTTGTCAGACACAAGACAGTTTCTTCCTCTCTTCAGTGCACACCAAAGGAGTGGTGTGTGTGTGTGTGTTTTTAACAGACAAAGAGACCAGCAATCCTTCTGGGGGAAAAAAATCACCAAACAGAAAACCACTTTGTACATCTTGGCCATTTTGCTTACCAGCCAGAAATAATCAGCCTACCAAAACAAATCCAACATTGGCTCTGTAATGCCCTCTATTGGGGAATAATAACTTTAATTCTTTTTAGGCTTCTTGGAGTCTTATTTCCAAAAGGGATAGAATTTTGAGATCTTTATCAGCAAGTTTAAGGAGAAGCATCAAAGTGTGGTTGTTTTGCACCATGGTTGGCAATGTGTAATGTGAGAAAAGAAGTGAATGGCAAGGTTTGAGAATGAAAAGTGTGCTGAATCTAAAATGAATCCAAACTCAGAATATTCCAAACTTCGTGGGCAAAATTGTGGATCTCATGTTAGGCCAGCATTTTGCAAATGTATAAGATGCCCCGCTGAAGCCCTTCTAGGAGGATATTTCGCCCAACTTCTGCATGTAATGGCTATAATATTTTGGGATCTGTTCAGTGTGATTGTTTTGGATATTCATTCTACAGAGGCTTCCAGTTACAATGTGGTTATTTATTAGTGCAAAAGTGGATTCAGCTATGACCATTTGCATCTCTTTATTTTGCAGCTAGATTGTACCACTTGCTTCTCTCTCTTTTTTGTGCGTCTTTCCCACTGATTTGAAAATAGTAACACCTTTATTTAAAAGATTTATGAGGTGCGTGAAATAACCATTTGATTTTGAAAGAGGTGAAAACACTAGAACTTGGGAAGAACTGCAGTAGAAACCTCTTTAGAACTGTAATCCTCGATACTCTTTCTTCTCTCTGTTTTTCTTTTGAGAAATGTTTCATTGAGACTGGTTGGTGTTAATTCTAGTGAATGTCTCAGGGGTTTGGTTGCTGGTGTTCATATTTGAATTAGGTAGCAGTGAAAATGCAAAGCTGACAGTGCCTTCTGTTGGAAGAACTGCATTGAGCTTTTCTTATCTAGGGGACGGAGTCTGGTATAATCTCATTGGGCATGTGGGAGAATTCATAGTGTCTTATCAGTCTGTAGCAAGGAACATGTGATAGAGTAGAACATGTTTTACAAATCCAGATATTACCGGAGTGCATAGCTGTGGAGACAAACTGAATCTGGGAAGAAGACAGATGCAAATCGAAACCAAACTGTGCACCTTCTTGCAAACCATCCTCTCATTTTAGTGAACAGTTGACAGTGTGAATGAATGCCTTCTCCAAAAGCTTCCATTTTCTATTACTATTTAAAGAATTAAGCATTCCAGATACACTTACCTCATTCTTAAAGAGACCCTGGTTATGACTGTTGGAAACTGTTTGTGCTTTTTGGAGATGGTCTACCGAATCCGGCTGCAATGCCGTTGGCTCTGAAAATGGCAATTTCAAACTAATCTCATGGGCAGCATAGTTTGCTGATCCTTGTTCCTTTCAGTAGCCCATCTTAGCATTGTTTGGGAGGTTGCTGAAGTGAAGGGAACAGAATTTTTGCCTCGAAGTGTCAGAAAAAGAATGCAACACTGTGGGTTCAAAAATGTTGGAAGAGCCTAGAAGCAGGGCATTTGACGTGCAACACTAAACAACCCAAGATGTCAAGAGAGACTGTGCAACTATGTTAAAGGAACATTCCTTTTTCTGTTTCTGCTGCTATATGTTTTAGAAGATGAACTTCCATGCTTTTGCTTGAATATTTACAGCTTTGTTATGATGAACCGCTGACTTGTGTTGTTCCTTACCACGGCTTATTTGTCTCCTATTGCAAAGACTGAGTTTCTCCTGTCATTTGTAACTAGTGTTACTATGTCATATTGGTCCTAAGAGTTGTCTTGTTGATTCCAGAGAAGGGTTAGACTCAAAACAGCTAGAATAATGTTAGCTATGTCCAAAAATTGTCGGTAGTGTTGTTTGCATGAGCAATGTCTGTATTTTGCTGGCTCCTGAAAGAAATTCAAATCTATTTTTAAGTAAGAAAAATCTTTGTTTTTCTCCTGACTAATACCGTTGTTTCTGATTGTTAAACAATTTAAGTTGTTGTATTTTCTTGTAGTTTTTATACCACCTTTTAACAGTTTGTTCAGATCTCATAGGTCCAGCATCACTGGGCCAGCATTTGTCCCTGATATTGAAGTTGCTGTTTCCCACTCAAACCTGGATTACCAGCTGTCCAAATGTAGACTTCTTAAAAAGGTCTTAAACTAACTGAATCCACAGACTGAAAATGGGAAATTTCACACATCACATATTAGGCTAAATAAACAAGCAATTGCCAGCCAATTACTGATTTTGGTGGGCCGTTTCTGAGTACTGGGATGGAATATGTGAATAACGCAACTTTTAAAGTTACCTTTAGTAACCCACTCGTTTCCACATGGACCGAAGTTATTGTTGCCATGATCAGGTGGAAAATTGTAAGTGGTGGAGGAAGGGGAGCTGGGCAGATCATTTCCTATCCTGCATATTGTTTTCTCCCTTGTTTTGTAATCTCCCCTCCCTTTAACGCTTAAGATATAAAAGTTCAAGAGTCTTCTCTCCTGAAGACTTTTTAATTGAATTGTGATCGAAATTTGTGGCAGCTGAGAGAAAAGGACAGAGGAGGTTCTGGAGGCCATAAATGGTCTGAACCATTTATGTTTAATACTCTGATATTCCAGCGTATATCTCAGGCATGGTGCACCTAGTTCTCCTAAGTCAGTTCCTCAAACTTTGCAGCATGTTAGGTTTGGTCTTTAATGTCTGAACGTTCCTAGTTATTTTAATGGCCCTTCTTTACCTCTCTCTCAGTTTGTTTTCTTTCTTGCAAAACAAAAATAAAAGCTCAAGGTAAAAAAAATGCTCTGCTTCAAGTGATGCAAGTATACTCACCCACACATTTGTCTTCTAAATGTGGAAAATAAAGGAAATTCTTTGCTTCCTGGTTGGTTCAAGAGAAGCCTTTAAAAAATTAAATGCATCAGAATAATTATATAGATGGTTAAGTTAGCACATGTCAATGCATTGCCCACTAACTTGCTCAAATCTCTTAGAAGCTCAACACAGTTGTATTTGCTGGATGTGTGTGGTCACATTTGTGGAGTGATTGAATGATCAATCTCATGTTTCAAGTCACAAAGCCATTTTTAGTCCTGCAAATAGTAGCTAAGTGTCCATATTGTGTTCTTCACTATGCATTTCTGTCCTGGACCAGCAAGAGCTCTCTAGAGTTTTCTTGTTGTTTTAATATTTTGCTTAAATAATTGCAGGGTTTAAATGTTCTGTATTGCCCGTGCTGAGTGAACCATCTTGGTCCATGTTTCCTAGCTTATTCTATCCCTTGTAATTTGAAGCTGTGGAACCCCCTCACTGCTTTTTAGGGGGTTTGATCCTTTTTCTGTTCTCTGAACTGATTCTTGCTTTCTTTTCTGCGAAATGCTATATGTTTGTTGTGAGATGAAGACTTGGGGACTTGGCTTTTGCTAGGTTCTATCTGGTGTGTAAATAGTATTTGAAATGTAAATAAGTAGCATGCAAATGAACTGATCTGTGCACAGGATTGTGATTCATCATAAATATGTATTTATACTGAAAAGGATGTATGAGCAGTTTGCCTGTCCGTTATAAAACTTAAAAGCTTTACATATCTCTTGGTTCAAATGTGGAATGCTTTAATAGCCTACCATCTAGCGTCTGCCTGGCAAAACTGCAGTTTGAGAAAAATGGTAAGAACAGCCTGCAGTTTTTCATGATGTTCATTCAAGAGCTGCTTTGTATCTCTTCTTTTCCTACCTGCTTTGTACAATGATTTATCTTACTTAGCTGCTGAAACTACAGGAACTTCATTGACTACTGCGTTGTCCTGAAACTAAATATCATATCTTCGCTGGTCACATTTACCAAAGACAGCTGAAGAGAGTGCATGTGAATGGGACTATATGAGGCTTGTTTTCCAAAATTCTTGTCTGCTTAATGGTCAGAATGTCAAGCACAAATTGATAAATAATGGATAGATCCATCCGGCCACGTTGTCCATTCTTCTCAACCTCACTTGAGCGGGCATTCACAAATGCGCTTTGCTCACTTCCATGTTTTACTGCGTTGTAGTAGGCATGATCCTTAGAATAACTGGAGTGGCACTGGTTTTGTTGGATTTAACAGTGTTGCATGTTATAATGCCACTGCACCTTTTAAATTCTCCATCCTTTTATTTCCACAGTGCAGAAATTAAGCTCATAAAGATCATTAAGAGGAGCCTTATTGCCCTAATTAAGAGGACTTTCTGTCATAGAAGCAACAAGGAGATCTGTGCAGGTTCATTTTGGGGCACGTTCGAGGCCATGTTACACTGAATTATCTTCATTCCTTCAAGAAAGTCCTACTGTTGAGGCAGGCTATCTAACTGTTGGATTGTTTTTAAGTCTGTGCATGCCACTTGTTTAGGAACATCTGTTGCTAAGTTCCCTCGGGAGTTTAATGCCAATTCTTGATGCTTTCAAGCATCATAAGTTCTCAAATTTATTTATATAAAATATAATGTAATAGTATGCACACACATTCTCTAGTATTTTAATCTTCCTTAACTAGGGTATGTCAACATGACATTTCTAAATGTCCGTTTTCTTGTCTGGGTGTAACCACTTCTTTTCATATATCTTGCTTTATAATCCATTTTTATTTTCAGTGTTGATACAACTTTTTCATGTGTTGCTGCAGATAAATTACTCCCATAGTTTGTGTGTGGAGGAAAATAATATATGAAAGCTAGTTTTCAGACTTGACATGAAAAGTGAGGTATAATACTCAAAGTGGAGTTAGTGACAAAATCATCTCCCCTTTTTCTCCCTAGAGTGCACTGTTTTTGAACTGAAAAGGTATATTTTCCTTTACGGTTGATGTGTCAACATCTTCTGGGACAGTCTTAGGTATTTGCAGGTCCAGCTCTTGATCCATGACAAGGCTTTCTTTGGAGATTTTGCTTTTGATGAAGACAACCCTGGATGAGTCGACAAACACGTCCCTCTTACAGAATTTCAGTCTTCCTCTCTTTCTGGCATGGTATGGCTATTCCACCATCCAGGTAAATTGTATTACTGGTGAAGGAGGTCTTCAGCATTAGTAAGAATTGAGATGGCTCCTAAAGCCCTGCTTTTTTTTGTCTTCTGCCTCTTCTTGGTATTTGCAGGTATCACAGGGCCAAGAAGAGGGGTCCATTTCAGGACCTTATGTGATACCTTAGAATCTCCTTAGCCATGGGGGAGCATTAGGGTCGGTTTTATCTGTGTAATGTGCTGAAACTGTATAGAGGTATGTGTGCATGTATCTGCACATGGGTGTCTACACACTCCAATAAGTTTAAGGGTCTGTTAAAGTTCAGCATCAGTCACACTGGACCACAGTAGAAACTCTTTAGGAGTGCGAATGATGATAAAATAAACTCTACTTGTAAGTGTCTCACTACATAGTATGTGCCTAGCAAAGATGAACTTGAAACAAGTGTTCCGTTCACAGTCATACTTTAAAACAAGGTGTGACATGGTCTGGTCTATGACTTTGACTAGTTCTTAATACTGACTTAATTTCCAAGTATGTTTCTTCCCTAAATCGTTGCATGTTGTGATTAAGGACACTCACTGTAATTATCATGGTGTTGCGTTTTTAAATTTTCTTTTTATATGAATGTATTCTCCTGTGTTGAAAGTCTTGTAAATTGCGAAATTGATTGTAAAAGCCAATTACACTTATTGATGATGGAAGGTATTGTTATAACAGAATTGCATGCCAGTACAGTTTGGCAGAAATTGTGTTGTCTCATTGCCAGTTGGTCACGCTTGGTCTAGAAATGGATATACTATTTTGCTTACCTGTCATCTCATCTTTGCATTAGAGTATGGTATATTGTTGCCCATGCAGATTTCAGTGGATGTAACTGGACTTATACATGAAGTCAATACAACTTCTTTGTGTCAGTTTTTAAAGTGTTGACAGTGGTCTTCTTCATGCTCTCGTACCTTTTTTTTTAATAGATGAAATTGGTAGGAATGTTTTAATACTTTTATTATGGACAACATAGTTTTACTAGTTGTGCAGTATTCTGTATTTTACTTGAAGTAAATCATTTTATATGCAATTTGTTAGTATAAAATTACAGTTTTATAAATAAAATTGAGTGACATCTTGTGTCTACATTTTGACTTTGATGCACAATACTGTATCACACAAAATGAATCATTGCTTTGATTTATAGAAAAAGCAAAAGCTTTCTAATGGCTAATTTTGTGAACATATACTTGGAATGATGTGGACAATGTATGATAACACATCCCAGACTAAATGATCAAGAGGTGAAGGGTTTCAGTGCTCTGTATTATTTCTTGCTTCTCTTCCAGAACTTGGGTATTAGTCATGTGTATTTGGGCCAAAGGGCATACCGTTTTCGGGTCTGTTTCCATCTGACCCCTCATTTCGTTTACCAGAAAGTTACCTGAAAGGGGAGGGCTGTTTTCTGCTTCATTCAGCAGAGATTCGGTTCATTGGCTACAATGAGAAATTTTAAAGGCTCAATCCTCAGCCATTTTAAGGCCTATCTGCATGAAACCTACCTCAGTTGTAGACCCCATTTACAACTAACTGCCGGCCTGCCAAGTTTCAAAACAATTTAGCAATCTACTGATTTTTTAGAATTACTTTAAGTTTTAAACGTAACATTTTAAAAAATAAGATAAACTGCAAGAGAGGGTTCTGGGAATTGTAGTCATTGGTTGTGTCCATTCTCAACCAAACAGAGCATGGACACCACCAGGCTTTTTACTGGCTGAGAGACACACAGAGAGAAAAACTTCAACTCCCATTATGCTCTGAGAGAAATTTTCAATGGCTACGCTATGCTAATACCATTGGGAAAGCATGTTTTAAAGGCCTTCTCTGGATGAGGAGTGAACTTTCCAAGAAAAAAATGGAGGAGGTTTCATCTGCCGGTGAGAGAAAAAGACGTCACAGATCCCACTGCCTCAGGTATTTTGTGGACTTAACTCTTTCCCAAAATATTGTCTCTCTGAATTAGTTTAATTGGTCTTTTCATCTCTCTCTTCCCCTTTCTATTTTTGAAAATTACACAAAAAATGGCAGTCCAAACCTATAAATCTTTTCATTAACAGCAATTCGAGTCCAACTCTATTGGATATGTTCCATTTTGGAGCAAAACCTCCATGAGGGCATAGGGAGTCTATTATTTTGATGCCAAAAAAGTAACTTTTCCAAGTTCTGTTGCCTTCATGACTATTTAGTATGATACATTATTAAAAATGGGAGTATAGGTTTTTCTGTTTAATTTGTACATTCAACAGTCCAGCCATTCTGAATGGAGTCTTTCTATTTTGTTGCAAAGTACACAAGTCCTGGGCGAAGATTGCTTATCCTTTTACATTGACTTCAAAATTCCTCAAGAAAGAAGGTCTTTGATCTGTCTGTCTCTTCCATTTCCTTCCATCTTCTCACTCTTGCTGCCTGGCATCATATACGTTTGCCTTCACTTTCTCCTGTAACTATTCCACAATAGTATATAAGGTCTTCACTTTGGGACATGTTTATTGTTTCAAGGTCTTAGTTTTTTTGCCACTGACTTTCTGTCTTGTAGAAGATGAATAAGGATGATCCTGATCCATATCCAGAAGATGTTAAGAGTTGTGTGGAAATGACCCATCATATTCTCTCCAAGGAGAACCTAGCAGAGCAGAAGGCTAGTCTCAGCTTTTTAAAGAATGTTTAAAGTTTTTTTTTTAAACCCAACCTGTTTTCTTATGGATTCAAATGCCTGTATACTTTGAGTAGATCTGAAATGATTTGGGAGGAATTCTACATGTACTAAAAGTGTGTAATACAGTACTTCAAGTGGTTCCTCTGTTAAGCAAGCATTTAAACCTAGAAGTACTGCAGTTATTGTGTGTGAGAAAGAGACTGGATACTTCCAAATAACTGTATTGCTATACAAAAGACAAAGCACAAAATAAGATGTGAGAGCACTGGATTTATTCGTTTACCTCTAGATACCACGGATTTGACATTAATAGGCAAGACCAGTGAATGGAGCAGCAAGACTTCCTTCCTTCACTCATCCTTTTTGGTTGCCATTGTTTCGGAAGCATCAAAACGAGGCACTTTCTTACCTCGCTGGCAGTCCAGCTCAACCTTGCTGCCTCTTGTTTTTGTCCCTAAGCTAGTAGTACACTGTTACGGAGTTAGGGATATGAGAGGAAAGTCATCACTGTAGTACCACTTTTACATTATTATAGGACTACAACATGCACATTCTACTATGTGGCTCAAGCAACGAGAATACAAGTAGAATAACAACAGGGCTGAAGACTTGTGTGTTTGCGTGTGTGCATGATGAGAAAGAGAAGGGAGAAGATTTTGTTATGACAACTGGCTATGGGTTTTTACAAATCTTATTTGGAAAGGTACCTACAGCAGTTCAATTGTTGTGGGAATGTTACACGCATGCACATGTGACACAGTGGGGGAAACGCAGCAGGAAGAGCAGCAGGACAGGACGAAAGGTGAAATCTGTGACACGATGCTATGTGGAATTGGATACCCTTCCTCAGCTTTCCACGGCGAGTCTCTGCTCTGTGAGGGAGGCCTGTTGGGCGACCGTTTTGTTCTCATGGCTGCGAAGTTTTGATACAACGTCTAGAAAGGCCAGGCTCTGCACTTCTTTGTGAAGGAGTTCTGTCAAACAGAAGCAAGACAGTTACTTTCCTGCTGGGTCTTTGTGTGCACAGCTGCTCTTTTGTCTGGATTTTCAGCAATCAACAGCGGCCTTGGCGATACACAATGCGGCCAGCAGAAAAACTATGGCGAGAACATTATTTTCCAAGAATTGTAGAAGGAGGCAACCATTCTGTCAAACCGCTTTTGTCCCTGCTCTCTCTATGCAAATAACCTGTTTTTCAGATTTGCAGTTTAGAGGAAGACTGTGGTTTGGGTGAGATTTAAAAAAACAAAACAACAGCACAATAGATTGGATCTCTGTAATATATTACGGTAACTTAATCATGTGAAAGTGTGGAAGCTGAAGGGGTATAGTAATGCAAGCCAAAATGGTTCAATTTCCACACCCTGGAAAGTCCTAGACAATACAATGACGTCCATGCTGAAGAAAAAAGCTACCTGGAAATGCAGCATCAACAACTTGAATGTTAAAAAAACATCAACTACTATTCAAGATTGCAGTTATGGATTCATAACCTGGAGTTGCAGATCTGTAACTGGTCTGTATTCAGTAAGATTGTGTAGTTGTATGTAAATCCCACATTGACAGCTGGATGGAGTAAAGGGGGTCTATTCAGCTTTCAATCAGGGTGAAAGGAGGAGGATGTTTCCATCCCTCCCACCAGTGAGCTAAGCCTGTGATTATTGGAAGACTATTGGACCTTGGACCGCAAGAAGATCAAACCATTCCATACTCCAGTAAATAATATCCGGCTGCTCACTGGAGGAAAAGATTTTAGAGGCAAATATGTAGTACTTTGGTCATATAGTGAGAAGACGGGAAGCTTGGAAAAGATAATGATGCTGGGAAAAAAGGAAGGAAAAAGGAAGAGGGGCCGACCAAGGGCAAGATGAATGGATGGTATCCTTGAAGTGACTGGCTTGGTCTTGAAGGGACTGGGGGTGTCCATGGCCGACAGGGAGCTCTGGCATGGGCTGGTCCATGAGGTCACAAAGAGTCGGAAGCGACTGAAAGAATAAACAACAACATTGGAAGCAGGCCCCTTGTTTCAAGTCCTTTTCATGGGTTCACTGGCAGTTAGGGAGGGGAGTGGAAATGCTTCCTCATGCCCTGATTGGACACTGAGTGGATTCAACCTGACTGCTGGCACTAAAGGTGGGATGTCCCTGTACTTATTTATCACATTTGTATCCCGCTCTTCTCACACCGAAGGGGACTTAGGGCGGTCTTGGAACAGGCAACAATCTGATGCCTATTGTAGATATTATTCAGTTCCACCTATGTAATTAAGTAGCCAATCTAGGATACCAGTGGCAAAACTAGCACCATGCTTAGGTCAGCAAGGCTTCTGTGTAATTACTAGTGCTTCCAGCAGTGAATCAGCAGGATCCTGGGCTCTGAATCTTTGTCATGTATTATTTTAAAACTATTCTTCATGCACGTTCTAAAACAATGATATAAATACTAAAAAATACCCTCTGCTCAAACAAACCCCCAAAGTCACTTAATTGTGAATTTGATATTAAAGAAGCAACAGAGTGAAAACTGCACCCTTCAGGTCTTGAGAAAATGAATAATGTAGATGCCAGGAAAAATTGTCCCAAAACATGGAGAGCCGTCACTAAGAGAGGCATCTCACTGCTAGCTGCTTGTTTTATGGGATGAGCCACCTCAGGAGGCCTAGTCAGGAACAGAAATTATGTGTAATTAACCTTTCAGCTTGGGAAGAGTTACATCCAGATTTAAACCAATCAATTGTGTCAGATATGTTCAAAGGGAAGCAGGCCTTGCAACACAAAAAGGCTCATGTCAGCAATATAGCACTTGTTTGTTCATTAATTTAATAGAATAAAGTATTAAGAAAGCGTGTCAGTCTTAAAACCTGTTGCAGCTTATCTGTTTGCAACATAGTCAAGCTTTTTCTCTCATATGAATCTCTAGTATTTAGTTAAAATACTAGGAGGAGCTGCACAGTACAGTAGTCTTGCTTATCCAAGAACTTGGACAAGAACTTATCCAACCTTCGCTCACCCAACGTTCTGTATTATCCAACGTAGTCTGTCTTTGCCCAGTTCCACAGCTGTTTCAATACATTGCAATGTTTTGGTGCTAAATTTGTAAATACAGTAATTCCAACATAATGTTACCATGTATTGATCTGCTTTTTCTGTCAATTTATTGTAAAACATGTTTAGGTGTTTAATTTGTAAAATCAAAACGTCATTTGATATTTAATAGGCTTTTCCTTAATCCCTCCATATCCAACATTTTTGCTTATCCAACATTGTGCCGGCCCATTTATGTTGGATAGCAAGACTCTTCTGTATCATTAAAGGAAAAGTGGAGCATATATAATGTAAATATTCAGTACTTTACAGTGTATTTCTTTAGAAGTCTTGAAAGCTGCAAAATTTAGTCCTTGGGTTGGGATGGGAAACGGAGAGAGATGAAA